TTGCCTGGAAGGTTAGACCTACGGCTCACAGGGTCCATAGCTAGGGCAAACAGTTGAGAAGTTTTCTCTCCCAACAGCCCACAGGCACAGCACCTTCAGATACTATGAAGATGGCCAACAGGGATGAAGCTTCCGGCTCAGTTCCAGCTTGATTTCTCTGTCTTGCCACCGAAGAATGCGGTGCTGCATATTCAGCAACAGGGTCCTCCCACCCAGCTGCGGTGGGCAACCACAGACAACGGCGACAGCCTGTGTTATTCTGGGGCCTCTCAAGTCCTTGGGGCCTGTGGATTTTGTTTCCCCTGTCATCTTAGTGACTTGTCTAGCTTCTCACAACAATAAATCTAACTCATGTTTTGGTCAAAGTCCTTAGTTTAAAAATATGTTGGCCCCAATCAGAGATAGACATCTATGGAGTCATCCTGAAGACAGCATTTCAGACAGATGTTTCATGTAAAACATCCCAAAATGAGCAAGGCAAAAGTTCTATGGAGTGCTTAGAAAATGCTAGGCTGCTGCAGAATTTTTATCTTTAAAATTCTAATGTACCGAGTTAGAATCTTTTAGTCTCTGAAAGATTAAATAAAAAAAATAAAGTATTTCTTGTGCCTCTTAAGCTTATATGGGTTGGAAATCTTTCTCTTTCCTAGTGAAGCCCAGGGCCTCATCCATCCTAGGCAAATGTTCCACAACTGAGTTCTACTCCCAGCTTGGAAACTTTTTGTCAAAGAAACATTTTTCATCATAAGAAATCAAGGTTCCCAGAAAGATACTTCAGGAAATACCACTCAAGGGTGATGAGAAAACGTCAGCCACCATTTTTGGGGTCAAGAGGTTGTTCTGTTAGCCACAATCCCACCTTACTAGTCAACCGTTAAGTCAATTTAAAACTCGGCATCTTCTCCAAAGGAGAATCAAAACATCCAGTGAAGCAGTATCTTCCCAGTCGAAGTAACTCACCACAAAGCCAGAAAGAAGATTTAATGCCATCATCAGGGAAGCCAGGGAAGGTCAACTGACGAATCATGCTCAGAAGCTATAAAGGCCGGACACTTTAAACTTCTTCATCAAAACAGAAAAATTTTAAAGTTTTTGTGGTTCAAATACAATCTTAGCTACCCAGAAAATGCACTTGTATGTAGTATTTCATTTTCCAGTGATATTTAGTGAACTATTGCTACTGTATTAGGAAGGGGTTGCCTCTGAGTACTATATATTAGACATACACCTTACAGTAAAATGGCTTTCAAACTGTAAGATTTTTGTGTATTGTCAAAAGAATCATTAAGTTAATTTTTTTAAAAAATGGCCTTTGAATAAAAAAAAAAAGGCAAGACCTATAAGTATATAAAATGTCATCATTTTGTGACTTAATGTCCTACAGGAAGATGACAACTTTTATTTGTAAGAAAACTTCACATGTACAAATTGTGTTTAAATGGCCTGTTTAAATTGACGGGCAGCACCTGCCCCCCCAGCACCAGGGCCCCTAATCCTCCACACTGTCTGTTGGGCTAGCAGGTCTTAAGATGTTGTTGAGATAACTGGCTTCCATTAGCAAGTCTGTGATTGGCAGGATGATAAAGTCTTTTCACTCACAGGTCAGCTATTTCCTTTTCTTTAGAGGAGGGCAGTCCTGACGATCTATCTTTTAACTACAGTCTCTTATTGAGTCCCAGTTCTCTTGCCTTCAGCTTTGATATGGTTCTAACTTTCCTTTTGTATCAACTCATACTTGTCATCAACTCCTCCATTCAGTGCAGCAAATATCAGGAGTTTGACCTCAGGGCAAAGTCCGGGTGGGCAGGTAAAATCTGACCATTGGACCTACTTCCTAATCTTTCATACCCAGCAACTCATGAAGCAGTATCAAATTCAAACTAAAAACCAGAAGCACGACCCCTTATACATACTATGAAAAGAGCGACTTGCCTTTCTAAGTCCACTTGAAAAGAACTGTCAGCCACCCTATTAAGACAGAAACGGATCACAGACCAGAGGGAAAAAGAAGGAAAAGTGCAGAAACTCAACTGCAATGTAAACAAAGGCGCCGGCAGCCCTCTATGTTCGGCGAGAAACCCCCTCACAAAAATTAGACACTAGAATGTCTCTTTATGAAGTCCGATGTAAAAGCACTACCAACACTTTAAGGCATCTGTATTTAAATAATCAATAACCTTAGACAGAATGAACCATGCAAGACTTTCGTTTTTCAAGATCAATTTCGGGGTTTTTTTTGGCCTACTCTCATAGTGTGTATTTCATAATATGACCGTGAGTTAATTTTAAAAGCAAATGCAGTGAAATATAGCTACTTTTTTAATTAATTAACTCTAAACCACTAAATTCATAAAATTTAACTTATGGCCAAAGTGATATAGCAGCCAAAAGCAAAAATTAGTTGTTTCTTTTCATTTTAGAGTATAAAAGTCTAGGAATGGTAAATCACTACATTTTAACATTAAGAGAACAAAATTTAAGTCCCTTTTAAGACTAGAAAAAAATTAACACAATAAACCAGTTGATCAGAGTGTTCTTCTCCATGTGATACAGTGGTGTGTAATGCTTCCACAGCTATCGCTGTCCAGGGGGCACTTTAGCAATTCCCTATACGTATAGGTTTCATAACTATGCATTTTCACAGACAGTGTCTAAAATCCACTTGAAAGTTTCTCAAACAGCTTACATTTAAAAGGGGAAGTCAACGAGGACCTTAATGTCTTCTAAGTGCACATATTTAAAAAGTATATTCAATCATGACTCAAGATGTTAATATTTATAAGTGTGTTTTAATAATACAGTCCCCTAGGGAGATATATGCCTTACAAAGCAGTCATCTTTCTTCTTTCTCCAAGAGACAGGGGTTTTCTGTGCAGTGCTGGCTGTCTTAGAACTAGCTTTGTAGTTCTGCAGACCAGGCTGGTCTCAAACTCAGAGATCTGCCTGCCTCTGCCTCCCAAGTGCTAGGATTAAAGGCGTCTACCACCTAGTTTATAAAGTGGCCATCTATGCTGTCTAAGACTCTGTGAAAGAAGAAGGTAACTGGAGTCAAACATATTGACACAAATTAAAAAACAGATTTTTTTTTTTAAGCAGAAAGCAAAGTTTGCTTAATACAACGCAAAGAGAAATGTAACAAGAGAGGCCTGTTTTTGTTAGTGATGGTTTTTGTTTGGAGAGGGTTGTTGAGCCAGGCTCTAGCTAAGATTACCAGAGTGTATCACCTCACTCCCTTGCCTGGTTTTGGTTGGTTGTTTGTTTCTTAAACCCAGGACCTCAAGTGTGCTAGGACATGCTCTATCAGCTGAGAGACATACTCATCCCCTTAGGGACAACACATCTTCAGTTCCTAAGCTATGTGGTCTTATTCATAATCCCACAGACTGCCAACTAGTTAATGTAGAAACTAGTTAGCACCATCTAAACTCCGATGAAACAGAAACTCTCTGTGCACAGATGACTTACATGGCTTACCCTCAAGTCATGTCTCTGGGCTGGAGAACATTACATTACTAAATGGTCATACTGACTGCCTGAGAAACGAACACTCCATGAAACCTGTTTCCAACTTGCTACAGTCTCAGCTTTCCATATTAGATCATCTTCCTCCAAGAACAAATGCAACAAACACAAGTCCTCTGAAAGGACCTACTGCCAGAGAACCTCTTCCAGCACACAGAAGCCAAGCGGAGTCAGACTTCCTGGTTTCCGGCTATCCTTCTCAACTTAGCACAGCTAGCTGGCTAGAGATCCACATCACCCAGAAGTCGGTCCTTGTTGGCATCATACTAAATATTGATTGTATGCAGAAAAAGTTAGTGCTTTACAGAAAGTGCTTTCTCGGCATCCTTGTGAACCTGACTTGAAATAGCATTCATTTCCACAGGACTCATGGTCTTACATGGATTCCAGTCTTCTCCAAAGGACATTGAAACTCCACAGAATGAAATTACCTTGTAGTATTTTGTATCTACTTCAATCACACTTTCTCACCGAATAATGAATACATGGGTGCCACTAAGTACTTACTCCACTTTGGGGGTACATGAACAGCAAAAAAGAGCTCTAATCCCAAACATTTATTGAAATCGGAGTTCCTTAAAGGCTCAAAGTGATCCTACTGCAGACATCAGTGTAGTAAGGTTCTCCTCAGAACATGGGTGGAGTTTCTCTGCAGGTCATCTCCATCCCCCAGGGGAATGAGCATCATTAACAGACTGATCACTGCGCCTTTGTTTTAATCTTGTTCCCATATGGTTTCTTGCCAAGGACAGCAGTCACTCCTGCTGTCAATCTCGGCTCCTGAACCCTCTAAGGGATGGTCCTCCACTGCCTCCACTGCCTCCACACCCTCTGATGCCCCAGCTTTACTAAGCCCCTTAATCCTAGGATTAAGAAAGAAAAAGAAAAAGGAGAAGAAAGAGGAAGGAAGGACTAAGAAGAAAAAATAGGGGACAGAAAAAAAGAAAGAAAATAAAGAATACAACAGAGCAGAAATGTCAAAATTGAAAAGTGAATAAAAGGCAGAAAAAAAGAGTTCATATTTGTTACTAAACTTAGAACATTCTTACCAAAGATAATATATAAGAATGAATAATGATTTTTTAAAACCTAGTTGTATCCCTTTTTCTGGAGGCATATGAAAATTTATAAAAAATTACCATTAATACAATTCTAAACAAGAGGTGATTTTCTAGTAATAATTAATAAACATTTAACTTGAGTTCTAACAATGTTACTACTACTGATTTTTATATAAGACCACAAAAATTATTAAAAATACTTGCAAGCAGTGAATAAATTAAATTCTCATTATGGGACTGCTCCATAAAGTTGAGACACTGTATGAACACAAGTTCAGAGATGTGCCAAATACACAGCAATCAAAAAAGGCATCTTCTAAAGATGGGTCTTCAGGGCAGACAAGCATTCTGGTACCATTAAGAATAAACTAACGAGGCAAGAGAGAACAGTAAGTGGAGAGCATCATTACATCTTACTTGTCTGAGGTCAATGAATGCCAGTTGGAGGGTGTCCCCTTGAAATCCCGGCACAGGCTCAGAGCTGGCAAACACTATTTTAAAAATTTAGAAAATAAAAGGGAATTAGAAAAATACCGAAAAATATACAAGACTTTAACTGCTACATTTCTATGTATTACAAATGTATTGTAACATTTATACACAATCATTTCAAACAAAGACCACTTACAACCTTCAATTTCTTTTCTTTTCTGTTTTTTTTTTTCTTTTGGTTTTTCGAGACAGGGTTTCTCTGTGAAGCAGTCCTGGACGGCCTTCAATTTCTATTAAATATGCTCTCTGTACCCATCACCACAAATATTTTAGTAGTATAAAACTTCTAAACTGCCACTTAATCTGTAACCTTTAATCACAATACATGTAGAAGGGTTGTCCTACACAAGTTCAGGAGTAGTAATGTACTTCAATCCAAGTGAAGCTGTCTGCCTCTTCTGGCCTCAGGTGAACGACCACAGAAGCACTTCCAAACTACCGATTCCATGGCTGTCAACGACACTCAAAAAGTCTGCTTAGTTCCACAGCATGCGCTATAAACATCACCTCTAGCTAACAGCAATGAGAGGCAGATAGCCAGGTAAGAGGTGAGCTGTACATGAAGACCACAGGTAAACATTTAAGTAGCAAAGTCAGAATGAATTCAAGAACACCTGCTCACGTCACTTAGTTATTTGTTGTTGTTGTTGTTGTTGTTGTTGTTCATAAAGGAATTTTTGTCTTCTAAACGAAAGACTTTTTTTTTTTTTAAAGATAGGGTTTCACTATGTAACAGCCTTGGCTGTCCTGGAACTTGCTCTGTAGACCAGGCTGTCCTCAAATTCACAGAGATCCACCTGTCTCTGCCTCCTGAGTGCTGGGATTAAAGGTGTGCGTCACCACCGCCTGGCATGAAAGAATATCTTAAAACAAGATTTAAAAAAAATTTTTTTTTTAAATAAGACACTTTTCAATAATTTTTGTACTTTAAGAATTTTAATCCTAACAGGCAGGCCTGGTGGGTCAGGTCTGCAACCCCAGCTGCTTAGGCGGCTAAAGCAGAAGAGAAGACAATTCAAGGCCTGAGTTCAAAGTCATCCTGGACAACCTAGGGAGACCCTGTCTCAAATTAAATTTAAAAAAGGGAGAGGGGGGCTAACACAGCTCAGTGGCAGAGTGTTGGCACAGCAAGCACCAGGCCCTGAGTTCAATTCCAGTACCAAAGAAAGCATTTCAAGTCTACTTTGTTTTAAATGAAAGTCTATAAAAAGACTTTACTGTGTGTGTGTGTGTGTGTGTGTGTGTGTGTGTGTGTGTGTGTTTACTATATGAGTGTAAGCTGGTGTGCATGTGTGTGCCCATGGCGATCAATGTCAACCATTTTCTTTAATCATGCTAGACTTTATTTCTGAGACAGGGTCTCTGGTGAGACTGGAGACCATCAATCTGTCAAGAATGGCTGGCCAGCAAGTCCCAGGATCCTCCCGTCAATTTATGTCTAGCTTGAAGATTACATGAACTTGCTGCCAGGCCTGGCTTTTTTGTGGAGATGGAGATTTAAATTTAGATTCTTGTGCTAACACTTTCTCTACTGAACTGTCTCCCAGATCCAAGACTCTACTGTTTCAATTTTTTAGAAATTTATTTATGTGTATGGGAGTTTTGCATGAATGTAGGTCTATGCACCATGCGTGTGCCTGATGCCCACTGAGACCAGAAGAAGGTGTCAGATCCCCTGGAACTGGAGTTACAGACAGTTGTGAGCCACCATGTGGGTGCTGGCACCTGAACCCAGGTCCTCCTGAAGAGCAGCCAGTGCTCTTAACTACTGGATCTATGTCTCCAGCTCCATCATTAAAAAAAAAAAATTTGTATGTGCATGTGTTCACACACACATGACATGGCCTCCATGTGGAGGTCAGAGGACACCTTCCAGAGTCCATCCTCTCCTTCCTTACACCATGTGGGTCCTAGGAATGGAACTCGGGTTGTCAGGTGACCTGCAAGTCACCTCGCCTGCCCAATTCCACCATCTTTGCACAAGTGTCTCTGACACCACCACCACCCCCCCCCTCACACCCCCCATCCCCCCCCCCCCCCCCCCCCCCCCCCCCCCCCCCCGCACACACACACTACTATCTCAGTTTTCTTAACACACTGTGGAATCTCCACATGCAACTTAACCAAGCCAGTACTTAGAAGCTATGTATAATTCTGCCTATGCAGTTCTTAGAACGATAAAACCAAGTCTTAAGTTTAGCGGATTTTGTACAAAACGATAGTTTAGAAAGACTCAAATAATTGAAAAACAAACGAAAACTTAACTCAGCCTAATTTACCTGGCCTCCCATCTCTGGGGACTACAAAGTTCAGAGTAAGTTCCTGTCTCTTGAGATACTAACTTCACTCAAGTATCCACTTTGTGTTTCAGCACTTTGTGGAACGTATTCATCTTTTATTTTTTTAATACACCACTACCAAAACTTTTTCATAATTCTCTGGAACACCACTAAAATCTTTTATTTTCTCTTTGCATTAAAAAGTTCAGAATTGCTGGGCAGTGGTGGCACACACCTTTAATCCCAGCACTCGGGAGGCAGAGCCAGGCGGATCTCTGTGAGTTCGAGGCCAGCCTGGGCTACCAAGTGAGTTCCAGGAAAGGAGCAAAGCTACACAGAGAAACCCTGTCTCGAAAAACCAAAAAAAAAAAAAACCAAAAAAAAAAAAAAAAAGAAAAAAGAAAAAAAAAAGTTCAGAATTATCTGGATTATTCTGTCTGGCCTTTCTAAATATTCTGCATTCTTTCTTATAGTTTTAACACCAACCCTCACTTCTTGCTCTTGCTCTCTTCTCTCTTATTAATATTATTCCTCTGTTCTTCTTGAGCTGGTAAGTCAGCTGATTAACTCCCACAGGGAGGGTCACAATCAAGAGGGAGCCTGATGTTGACAAGGGCCTCTCCACAAACCATGGCTCACTCAAGAGTCTCTCTCTCTCTCTCTCTCTCTCTCTCTCTCTCTCTCTCTCTCTCTCTCTCTCTCTCTCTCTCATCTCTCTTGCCCACACCTTCTTTTATTCTTTTTTCTTTTTCTAGAGAGTGTTTCCATACATGTCCAGACTGGGCTCAAATTTGTATGTTCAAGTGATCCTCCTGCCTCAGCCTCCGGAGCAACCAGGTGTACCCAATGCAAATAAACCTGGCTGATTAATGGGTGTTAAATCACTTAATCACTTTGATATGTGTACCTTTTGAACATAATTAACCAAGAGGCACCATCACTCCCCACAACACACACACACACACACACACACACACACACACACACACACACACACACACACACACACACACTCACACACACACTTCTTGGCTCTCTGCTCGGGTCAGGTAAAGACATGAACCTGATGATTAACTCACCTTTCTTGGGCCCTCTAGCACCAGAAGACAAGGTCTTAATGAAAAGATCTAGCCACTTTTCACTTGATAGCTAATTTACTCCTGTCAATGGCACTTTCAACAATGAAAAATGGCATGCATCATACAGTGGCAAGTCTACTTCTCCTTATTATGTCCCAGATAACCGAGTTTCTCTACTCCTATTAGACCTTAATTGAAGACTGATAAGAAAAACTATAACAGCCTGTTAAAAATAAGGGTCTTCTAGAGGGTAAGGAGCTAGCCCACAGGTTAGGAGAACTTGTTCTTGCAGAGGACCCAGGTTCAGTTCTGATAACCCACATGGTGGCTCACAACCATCTCTAACTCCAAGTCCAGGGGTCAGCCCCCATCTGCTGTTCTCCATGGCACAGGTATGTACATGATGCACACACACACACACACACACACACACACACACACACACACACACGCAGACAAAATACTTCTACATACACCAAAAGTAAAAATCTTAAAGTAAAATGAGCATCTTCTAATTAAAAAACAAAAGCAAAAACAAACCTAGGATCACATAAGGCCTTCCTATAAGACACGTTAATTTTATCTATAAGACAGAAAGCAGCTCAATTTCAATCATGCTTGTAACTGTAATATACTTAATTCTCAAACTTAGGGTCTTCTGCCTCAGCCTCCCAGGTGGAGATCACGAGTGTGTGCCACCATCTCTGGCTACAGAATTTTTCTATACTGAAAACCATCTGGACGGGGAAAGAGACTGGTGTGGAACAGTTTTCTGGAGTGTACAAAGACATGGTAAGGTTCCTGGCACCACAAGTTTAAATGAATCTGTCATTTTTTCCTTCCCCCTCAATTCCTGATTAAGACATGATAGCTAAAAGTTCATTGGTTTGGCATTAAATCCAAGAGTTTAGTGTCAAAATTATAATATCATAAATTTGTATAGCAATTTTACAGATCATAAAACACCTTCTCATATACCATCTGCTTTGATCATTCTAACAACTTACTTTGGCAAACAGGGCACATGAATGATAAATTTCTTATAAAATCTTCCAAGCAGAGAGACACCCACTTTGAATATCCCCAACAGTCAGCTCAGTTTAAAAGCTGCCCAGCTCTTCCGTTTTACAGCATAGAAGAATTGAAAGTAAAATGACTTGCCCAGGACTGCACAGCTAAATTTGGCATCCTGGCACTTGATCCATTGATCCAGAATCTGATTAAGTATTCAGCCTCTCACTATTGTCTGTTTTCTCACAAGAATTTAACCAACACTGACAAAACAGCAGTTTATAATGCTCAGGGCTTTTTCTCAAAGATCTTTTAGGGATAGAAGGTGATTGAGCAATCCCAAATCATGCAACATAGAGAACATTTGTAATAACAGGCTACTCAATTTGACTGGCAGCTTCATATTTTTTCCTTTATTTCTTTCAAACTCAAATACAGTCAACCCTACAATCTCTCCTGAGTCTCAGGCATCTCTCTCAGCTCCAGCCATCACTGTTTCTTGCCTGGATCACTACACGCTCCAGTCTGCTCTGCTGGCTGCTTCTCTCTCCTCTTCTTCTAGTGATCAACGGCAGATGTAATTGTTACTTGGGCATTTCAAAGTTTAGCATCTTTTAACGGTTCACCATC